GCCGGAAAGGGGGGAAGAGCCCCCGCTCCCCCTCTTGGCCCTTGGCGCCTGAGCCTCAGCAAGGACACACAAGTTGATTTTTCTTTCTTTTTTCTCTCTCCCCTCCCTCTCTCTCAAACTCTCTTTGTTTTGCTTAAATTTAAATTCTAAAACATGCATATTACAAATGGGTTAAACCTGCCGTCATTGTTTCTGTATATTCTATGGATATTTATTATATACCGAGAAAATATTCTGGAAGGGTTAAGTTATGCTGGGAGTGAGGTTATGGGGACATAATGTTCTAAATTGCCATGTTCTGTGTTATTAAATAAGTTTATAGGAAACACGTGCACATTTGTGAACAGAATACTCCATGGTAAGAACAAATGTGCTCAACCAGAACCCTGGTGTTATCCTCAACCTCCCAGCACTTGTTCTTGGGGCCTGAAAGCACGTTCCCCTGACCTAAGTGGGGTGAACGTTGATCACACCATACAGTACGTGCTGATCACAAGGCGTGGCTGGCTGGGCTCTGCCAACCACGTGTGCTCAGTCCCTAGAGTTCACATTTTCTTACTTCCTACTTCCGGTGGTTAATGCCGGTTAAGGAGGAAGAGGCAGGGCAGAAGCTGAGCGCATGACCAAAAGAAGTAACCAGAAGGGATAGAATACACTGACATTAATTACCTGGAGTTAATGCAAACCCCACAGGTTAAGGGTTCAGTCCCACAAGACTGCCACCACTTCAGACGTAAATCCCATGTAGTGGGCTCCCACGTTATCCACACTTTTGTCAGACTTGTCTGTAACTCAAGGTTTCCCACGACCCTCTCCTTATGTTTGATAACTTGCTATAACTGCTCACAGAACTCAGGAAAACATGTTTATCAATTTATTATAAAGGCTACAGATGAACAACCTAATGAAGAAGTATACAGGGCCAGGTGTGGGAGGGTCCCAAGTGCAGGAGCTTCTTTTTCTATGGAGTTAGGGTGCAGCACCTTCCTAGCATGGGGATGTGTTCACCAACCTGGAAGCTCTCTGAACCCCATAGTTTGGGGATTTCATGGGGGCGTTATCACATAGGCATCATCAATTATTAACTCAATCCCCACCTCCTTTCCCTCTGTGAAGGATGGGGGTGGGGCTGAACAAGCCAAGCTTAGTCTTTCTGGTGACCAGCCCAGATCCTGAAACTGTTAAGGAAACCAAGTGTAGCAGCCTCATCAGGACAAAACACGCTCCTGTCACCTGCCTGGACGAGGAAATTACAAGAAGAGTTTTAAAAGCTCTGTTTCAGGAACTGGGGTCAGAGACCAAATATATATTTATTGCTTGTTACGCCACAAATACAAACAATAAAAAGGAAATGACAAAAGGAAAATTGGTTTTGTGAAAGGATCAACGAAATTAATAAACCTCTAAGTAGACTAACAAAGAAAGCAAGATACAGAACATAAAATCCCAGTATCAGGAATTAATGATGGATGTTACAACAAACTCTGCATCCATTAAAAATGTATAAAGGGTATCTTATAAATAACTTTATGATAATAAGTTAGACAACTTGGTTAAAATGGACAAATTCCTTGAAAAATACTACCTAGCAATGTGGACACAAAATGAAAATATAACCTGAATTATCCTTAAATATTTATGAATTGGAATTTATTATCTAGAAGTTTTCCACAGAGAAAACTGTAGGCCTGAGCAGTTTCAATGGTAAATTCTAGAAATATTTATGGAAGAAATAGCACCAATCTTACACAAATTCTTTCAGAAGACATAGGAGTTCTGCAGTGGTTTAAGAGGCCAGCATAACGTAATCCCAAAACCTAACAAAAACATTTCAAAAGAAGAAAAATACAGATCAATATCCCTTTTAAAAATAGATGCAAAAATCCTTGACAAAACAGTGAAACAAGTTCAACAATATTTTTTTTAAAGATTTTATTGGTGAATTGGGGGATGGGAACAGCGCTGGGGAATTGGGAGAAGGGGAACAGACAAGTTGTCCTTTTGTTCTTCAGTCTAGTTGTGGAGGACGTCACTTCACTGGCCCATGTTGGCATTATCATTGCGCTCTTCCCAGGCGAGGCAGATCAGTCACCGGCTTCTGGACAGCCGCTCACGCTGGCTGCTGGCTACACACAGTAGCCCATGGCAACCCACTGCAGCAGAGGCTGCAGCCTATGCCATCGCAGGCGACTCACTGCAGCCCAGCTCCAGGTCGAGCTGTTGTTCTGCATCTTAACTGTAGAGGGCAGTGTCACTGGCCCTCATATGTGGGATCCGAACTGGGGCCCTCTGGTGTCCCAAGCCAGCTCTTAACCAACGTGCCACTTGGCCGGCCCAAGTTCAACAATATTTAAATACGATAATATATCATGACGAAACGGGGTTAATTTCAAGAGTGTGTTGGATTAACATCTGAATTATTATCAGCATTTTTCACTATATTAACAGTGTGGAGGAGAAATACTAGCTGATTAGATGGAAAAACAGCATCTGAGAACATTTAACCCACTTTCATGATAAAAGCTCTCCCTTATTAGGACAGAAAGGAACTTCCCACATCTTATAAAGGCCATTTGGCCTTGGGGTGGTAGTGCAGACAGGCATTACTTGAGCAGGGGCATGATGAATTCTCCTGGATGATGCTAATGTTCCATGATCTAGATAGAGTATTTGAATTACACAAGTGTATGCATCTTTCCAAACTCTTTGAGTGGTACCCTTAAGAATTGTGCAGTTCAGGGCTGGCTGAGTTGCTCAGTTGGTTAAGAGTTAGCTTAAGTGCTCAAGCTCTGAGCAACAGGGCTGCCAATTCAATTCCCACTTGGGCCAGTGAGGCTGTGCCTGAGCTGAGCTGCCACTGAGCTGCCAACGGGTGGCAGGATGGCTCAGCTGGTGAGAGCACGTGCTCCTAACAACAAGGCTGCCTGTTCAATGGTGGGCTATGCCCACCCGCAACTAAAATTGAACAGAGCACCTTAAGCTTAGAGGCCACGAGCTGCTGTCAGGAAGCCAGATGACAACTAGCGCCCTCCACAACGAAGATTGAAGAACAACAACTTGGCCAGTCCCCATACCCAATTCACCAACTCTATTCCCCTACCCGACTTCCTCAATTTAAAAAAAAAATTGTGCAGTTCACTCTTTGTATATTTTACCATTAACAAAATAAAACTGTAAATAATATTAAACTCTAGAGAGTGAAATACATGCTGAAGTATTAAGAGAAATACACTAAATCTGCAACAGGATTTCATCATTAAAAGAAAACAGATGAATGGACAGGGGGATGGATAGAGAAAGAAATATGTGATAAAGCAAATATAGCAAAACATTAGTTATAGAATCTAGGAGGTGAGTATATGGGAGTTCATTGTACAGGTCTGTAAACTTATTAAGAGCTTGAAAACGTTAAGGGAAAGAATGTTTGAGAGGAGAACCAGGAAAGACAGGAAGGAGTAGCACTGTGGGAGCAGAGAAAAGAGACAGAGGTTGCCTGACCACTGAGGCCCAGCCTGGAAAAGGGAGGATTCAGGGACACAGGGAGCTTAGCTGCCACCAAACACTTGACAGGCTTTTATCTGGGGAAGGGCTGCTTTTATTTTGTTTCCATCCCTGCAAGCTGAACTGGGCTCAACATAGACTGGTTTTGTTTTAACTTTCTGTTTTGCTTAATTTCCCTTTTTACTTTAAAACACTCTTATGTTAAAATTGCAAAAGTTAAACAAAAACCTTTTTTTCTGAGCCATTTGAAAAATCAGTGCTGTTGTGATAAATAGCATGACTGAATACTTTAGTGTATATTTTCTACAAATGAGGACATTCCACCCCCATAACCACACTACTACCTTCAAAATCATAACATTAACATTATTCACCTCAGACCCGACTCAATTTCTCTGACTGTCCTCATGTCATTTTCAGCACAGAGACCCTGACCCAAATCCTTATATTGCTATTTCCTGTACCTGTGTGACTGATGGTTTGTGGTACATTGACAGCCTCCTTTTGGAGACAGCTTAACAGGTTAAAACCAGAATTCATTTCATAACGTGTGATCTTGTATTTTGATTTTTTAAAAGTGTGCACATTGTATTAACACTCAATTGTAAAAATATGTGTGTGAGGGGGAGCAAAGGGAGGTGGGGGGTGGGGGCAAGGGGGAGAGGGAGAGAGAGAAATCACATATATGGTCAAATAAAAGAACTAAGGGCTGGCCGAGTGGCACGTTGTTGAGAGCTGGCTTGGGACACCAGAGGGCCCGGTTCGGATCCCACATATGAGGGCCAGTGACGCTGCCCTTTGCAGCTAAGATGCTGAACAGCAGCTTGACCTGGAGCTGGGCTGCTGTGGGTCGCCGTCAACGGCGTAGGCTGCAGCCCCTGCTGCAGTGGGTTGCCGTGGGCTACCATGTGTAGCCAGCAGCCAGCGTGAGCGGCCAGCAGCTGCAGTAAGCGGCCATCCAGAGGCCGGCGACTGAGCTGCCTTGCCTGGGAGGAGCGCAATGATGGTGCCAACTTGGTCCAGTGAAGCAACGTCCTCCACAACTAGACTGAAGAACAAAAGGACAGCAACTTGTCTGTTCTCCTTCCCCCAATTCCCCAGCGCTGTTCCCATCCCCCAATTCCCCAATAAAAATCTTTTAAATAAATGAATAAAAGAACTAAAAGAGACAAAATAATGGATGCTGTCTCTAAATGAGGGGCTCACACATGGTTTTGTATTCTTATAAAAACTTTCCTTGCACATATTTTCTGGAATAAATATATTTTGTTTTAGTGTAAAAAAAAAAAGAATACTAGAAACATATTCAAGTGTGAGTTACTTGCTAGTACCAAAGGCCAAGGGACAAACATGAATACAAAAGAATGTGGCTTTAGAGCTAGAAGAAAGGTCCCAGTTCTGTTTGCTTTTGGCAGCTGGGGTGAGGGGAATGTGAGAGGAACCCGGGAGGGAGGAGAGTCTGGAAGCCACTGGTGCCCATCCCTGCTTTGTCTCCACAGGTCCTCAATGCCTCAGCCGTGACCACAGGGCAGGACAGAGTTCACTCTCAACCAGCTGCCCCACAGGGATGGAAACAAGGCCTCTCTGACAAGTTGTGTCCACCAGGTACATTCTAAGACTGATCTCCAAGCCTCACCCCACCCTTGTCTCCAGGTCCTCTAGTCCTCTGATTCCTGCAGTTCCTGGTTCTTTATCCACAGGTATTTGTTAGATGCCTTCTGTGTGCAGGCACTGTGCCGGTGGAGGGCACAAGGCCCCTGCCCTCCTGGACTCTCCTTCTGGGATGGTATCTAGTCAGACGGTGAACGTGACAGTCAGAGAGATGAGATAGGAACTTGAAGATGATTGAGTGGTGGGAGGAACAGAGACCGGGTTGGGGAGGCCTTCTGGGGATGGTGACTTTGATGCAGACCACCACTGTCTGTGGTGCTGAGAGCCAGGTAGAGTGGTCCTGAAAGAGCCACCCAGGAACCATGATCCCAGGGAGCAAGGGGTGGCCTTGATTAAGCAAACCTATGGGGCAACTGGGATGAGTGGGGGGTTAAGGGGTTACAAGGACAGGTGAAGCAGATGACATACCTGAATACTGTGGAAGCAGCATGGGTTTCATTTTTTGAGTGAGGTATTAAAGCAAGTAAAATATCTCAATGTTTTCTATTGACTACATGTTGAAATGATAGTATGTTGAATATTTTAGGTTAAAAACACATAGTTAAAATTAATTGGACTTATTTCATTTTACTCTTTTAACATGGCAGCTATGAATGTGTGGTTGTAATACATTTCTGTTGGCAGCGCTGGTCTAAGGTATGTGGTAGATGTAGAAATGGAGAAAAGACTAAGGCCAGTTAGGGTGGATTTTCCTGTTTGGATTCTGCTGATGCCTGAAGTGGTGTCCCCTAGCCATCACCACCCACCTCTGGGAGTACTGCGGGGATTCACTCACCAGCTTTCCTCTCTGTTCCCAGGATTCTTTCTATCAGAATACAGTGGAGACTGTGCACCGTGCATATGGGGGAAGGAATTCACCAATCATTCGAACAACCTCCCTTCTTGCCAATTCTGTTCTGATTGCGGTCCAGGTAGAGACCATGTTGATCCCACGCCCACAGTTAGGGTGTCGGGTGATGCAATGTGAACTGTATCGAATGCGGACTCAGCAATTTGATTTCCAGCCCAACTAGGTCTTTATCATAGCCTTTTTCCTGACATGTCTTAGGTCAATAAAATCAAATGAAAACAGAAATTTTTTTTATAAGGCATGCCACACAGTAGGGAAATCTTTTAGGCCATCGGTTGGAAGGAGGTTGATAGTCTGTCCCTTGACGGGGAGACCCTAGTTACTGCATAAAAGGTGTGGCCAAGTGGAAAAGTGCTGGTTCGAGCAGAGACATGGGTCTGGTCCTGGTCCAGGTCCCTCTTAGCCCTGTGCTCCATGCTCCTGGCCGGTGCTGCGCCTCCCTCAGCCTTCAAGGCCCAAGGCCCCTTCGCCTGTCCAGCAGAGCTAGGTTTTGGGAAGTCACCCAAGGGTCCCTGTCCACCAAGGGAATCTCAGATTATACTCCACCCTTCTTAATGACCTAATGACCTAATAGATATCTCCTCCCAATCCTGACGTAATAAATAATGAATCATAGTCCTTTATATGTGCCTGTAGTGGTGACAGGTGAATGGTGGCTATCCTTTGTGTGCTGAAAATGGTCCCTCATGTTACTTGGTTAACAGTGGGTGGAGATTTGGGTTGTGAAAAAGGATAGAGGGACATGTGAGAGAAACACATTCCCCAAATGTTACCCTTTGTCTCCAGGTGAAGAGGAGAAAAGTCCATGCACCCGGACCAAAGACAGGGAGTGTCAATGCAAACCTAGAACGTTCCTTGGGAAAAATTCCCCTGAGTTTTGCCAGCCGTGCAGCACTCGGTGAGACATGGGAGACAAGGGTCCCCTAACAATTCAAGAAACCACCACAGTGACCCCCACATCCTCTTATGGCTTCCCTGCATCTTTGGGGTCTTCTGAGCCCACAGTGGCCCCTCCTGGGCCATCTGCATGTCTTCACACTGTCCCTTGCAGCGTCCCCTTCCCGTACCTCCTCAGCACATTTTCGCCTTGGCAGGTTGAGTTTTCCATCTGTACAGTAGGGCGCTTCTTAGGGCCCATGGCACTTTTAGGAGCCCTCAGAAATGACTGAATTGTTTGTTTTTGAAATCTGAAGAAAATGACATGGAATAGACTCCAACCTGGGTTATATCAATCTTTATTCCAATTCAGTCAGAAAAAATATTTTTAAATACTTAGTTATTGAGGAAAGGTCCATTAAGACAAAAGTGCGCACAAACTACGAAGTCATAACGAGGCTGAGCTTGTAGGTCCTTGAAGGTTCCCATATACTAGGCCCCTATGATCTCAATGAGATGCATCATTTTTCTAGTTTTTGGATTCAGGGGCCAATTAAATTCACTCTTCCCTGACCTCCAGTGTTGGCTGTGATTTGTAGGGACAGTCAACAGGTGGTAGGCGAGAGGTTCCTTGTATTAACGATGGCCTGAAGGTTGAGGCTCAGCTTATGCCCACCGGGCTTCTGACTTTTACCTGGAGTGAGATATCCCCTCCAGGGGCAGCTCAGTGCAGGCCTCACAGAGAAGGCCCAGCTCCTGAAGAAGGGGCAGCTCTGAACACTTAGCAGGAGCCCTATGGGCTGACGTGCCAAGCTCAGCTCCTTCTGGAACCCAGCAAGGGTGTGAGGGGTCCCACTGTGCAGACAGGAGAAGACTGTTCTTCCTTCACTTTCTGGTCAGGGGACACTGGACGGGAGGTTGCTCCCTCTTTCTCCTCCTCTTACCTCACAGAACCTCCTCACAACCTCCGTGTCTGTACCTAGGTGCCCTGATGGCATGGTCGTGGCGGCGAACTGTACACCCTGGAGTGACCTCGAGTGTGTGGCCCAAAAGTCAAGAAATGAAACCAATGGGGAGGCAGCAGTTCCTGGAGAGCCAGCGACCTGCCCGGGGCCGCACAACGCTCCCTCTCCCTCCTCAGGCAGTTCACAGCTGCTGATTGGAATTGTGCTGGGAGCTGTATATGTCCCACTGCTGATCATCACATGTGCATATTATCACAGGAGGCGCATCTGTCAAGGTGAGGATGGCAGGAGTGATGGGGAGATGCTGGCACTCTCTGCCGCCTCCCTCACTTCCTGCTGTTCCTCAGACAGAAAGGCCCTCCCTACCATATCTCAGATCCCCCTTTTTTTTCTGACCTCATTTTAATCTCCTTCCCTGTGATCAGCCCTCCATCTCCTACCTCCCCTGCACCTCTTCAGGGTTGGGATCATATCAGTCGCCCTGATTCAGGGCCGACAGTCACTTCATCTCCATGGCCAAGTCTGGGAAGGCAAGACACATTCTTCAGGGCCCGCAGCCAAGTCAGAGAGGTGGTCAGCCCCTCAATTGGTGACAAGAACCACGAGGAGAGGGTCAGGGGGGTTTATACAGCTTTGGTCAGAGCAGAGCCTATCAGAGATTTGATATGTGTCTTTTTTTACCCTTTTCCCTTTTCGCCCCCCTCGAGTGTGTTCCAGAGTTGGACTGTCCCTTCCCTATCACCAGGTTCCCGGGATGTTTGTGCAATGTCTGAGCCCCCAGACCAAGCCCCCTCCCCAGCACTGTCCTTATGGAGGGAGGTGCTGCTGAGAGGCCCTCCCCACTGCTAAGACAGACACCCCTTCTCTTCCAGGTTGTGGAGTGGTCACTGAGTGCACGAACAGAGTGAGTTGGTTTCTCCAGGACCTGGTGGCTTCGGCCCTCAGGAACTGCTTCCTGCCCACAACAAGGCCCTGGGTGGGCAGGTCCCAGTTTGTCCTATTTGCTGCCCCTGGCTGTCTCAAGTCGCCTGGGGGCCTGGACTCAGTGTAAGAGGGCAACTGGCCCTTTGGGAGCAGCCCACAGGGCTGGTGGCTGTGCCAAGCCCAGTCATTCCTGCTGCTTGTGATGCCCTCACCCATAGCCCTGCACCCCGGGGCATGAGGGTATCAGGCAAGGGTGCTGAACCCCTTAGCACAGCATCAGGGTCCTGGTGGCAGCAGCAGAGTTCTGGACGTGCTGAGCCTGTGCCAGCCTGAGGAGACAGCCTTGGGAGGGCGTGGGACAGCAGAACCTATGGTGTCCCCTGAGACCCTGCACGGAGCCTGGGTGTGGACTCCTGAGTCAGCGTTTTGCCTTCCCTAGGTCATTTTCCGGTGCTTATGTCCCCCAAGAGGGCCTGAGGGTGTGGACAATGCTCGCAACGAGATCGTGAGCAGCACAGGCTCACTGTCCACGCAGGCCTCTGAGCAGGAACTGGGACACCAGGAGCACGCAGAGCTGAAAGATGTCTTCATACAGTCCCCAGCGGACGCAGAGCGTCTGGCCTTCTGGAACCCTGGCCTTCTGCTTGTCCAGGACTGTGGTAGAAACAGGGAAAGGCTGATGCTGGTCAGGACTCCTGTCCCCTGGGAACATGGTGATGGAGGGAGACCAGGACCTGCAGGGGAAGGGGCTTCATGCACAGGGAGCCTGCCACCCTGATATGTGGACTGTTGGCTCTACGGAGTGTTCTGTTTATTATCTGTAGTGTGTTCACATATCCTTACAGTATATCGGGTTGTTGGAAAAGTCATGAGGCATTTTTTATTTTCATTGCAAAAATGTGTCATGCCTTTTCTGACAATCCAATAGAATTGGGCAGCCACAGAGTGAGCCATTCCCACGAAAGCTGAATGATGGCATTAGAGCTACATGATATTCCACTGTGTGGTTGTTACATAATTTGAAGCCATTCCTTATAGTGTTCAGAATTTTAAAGTTATTTCAAAATTAAGTTGAATCAATTTGAAAATAAATATTAGTCCCCATTTCTGATCATGTTTGTAGATTCACTTACTAGAAGAAGTAAAATATCTTTGTCAGGGGCTGGCCGAGTGGCGCGTTGGTTAAGAGCTGGCTTGGGACACCAGAGGGCCCTGGTTCGGATCCCACATGTGAGGGCCAGTGACACTGCCCTCTACAGCTAAGATGCTGAACAACAGCTTGACCTGGAGCTGGGCTGCCGTGAGTCGCTGGCGACGGTGTAGGCTGCAGCCCCTGCTGCAGTGGGTTGCCATGGGCTACCGTGTGTAGCCAGCAGCCAGGGTGAGCTGCCAGCAGCTGGCATGAGCGGCCGTCCAGAAGCAGACGACTGATCTGCCTCTCCCAGGAAGAGCACAATGATGGTGCCAACTTGGGCCAGTGAAGCAACGTCCTCCACAACTAGACTGAAGAACAAAACGACAGCAACTTGTCTGTTCCCCTTCCCCCAATTTGCAATAAAAATCTTTAAAAAAAAATAAAGAGTTGGCTTGGTACTTCACCTCTGAGCAGCAGGGCCCTGATTTGGATCCCACATGTGGGCCAGTGACGCTGCGCCCTCTACAGCTAAGATGGTGAACAACAGCTCGACCTGGAGCTGGGCTGCCGTGAGTCACGGTCGTCAGCATAGGCTGCAGCGGGGCTGCAGTGGGCTGCAGGTAAGCTACCGTGAGTGGCTGGCAGCTGGCGTGAGCTGCCAAGAGCTGCTGTGAGAGGCCGTCAAGTGGCCAGTGACAGATTGCCGGGAAGAGCACAATGATCACAATACCAACATGGGCCAGTGAAGCAACGTCCTCCACAACTAGTCTGAAGAACAAAAGGACAGCAACTTGTCTGTTCTCCTTCCCTGATTCCCCAATGCTGTTCTCCTCCCCCAATTCCCCAATTTAAAAAAAAAAAATCTTTGTCAGGGTTTTGAACTACTTTTTACTGTATATATATACACACACAAACACATAGACACATATAAAAATCCATAGTTTTGGATCATATCAGTTCAACAGGTTTAATATCACATTAGTAGTCTTCTTTTTAGTAACTAGAAAAATATTGACTAATACTTTTATTTTTGCAAGTGATTGTCTTGTCTATGAAAGTCTTTCTAAGACGTGCTCTCGTTACCTCACACTCATACAGGTTTGTTCTTTCATTTTGCCTAATATTTCTTTCTCTTTTTTTTAAAGATTTTTATTGGGGAATTGGGTAAGAGGACCAGCAAAGTTGTTGTTCTTCAGTCTTCGTTGCAGAGGGCGCCAGTTGCCATCTGGCTTCCCATCGGCAGCTTGTGGCCTCTAAGCTCAAGGTGCTGTGTTCAATCTTAATTGTGGGTGGGTGTAGCCACTGTCCCATGCAGGAGTCGAACCAGCAGCCTTGTTGTTAAGAGCCCACGCTCTTATCCACTGAGCCATCCTGCAGCAGCTCAGCTCAGGGTGCTGAGTTCAGTCTTAGTTGGGGTTGGGCGTAGCCCACCAACAAATAGGCAATCTTGTTACATCAGCTAAGCCGTCCTGCCACCTGTTGGCAGCTCAGCGACAGCTCAGTTCGGTCGCAGCATCACTGGCCCATGTGAGAATCAAACTGGCAGACCTGTTGGTCAGAGCTCGCGCTCTTAAGCCAACTCTTAATCAACTGAGCCACTCGGCCAGTCCCTGCTCTAATATTTCAATGTGCAGAATTTGCATGTTAAGTAATTAATCTATTGCTACATTTATGTTTTCATTGCTCAGATGCTTTGAAAGCCCTTCATATAGCAAAAGATAAGACAAATTTCTCTAATTTCTTAGGCAGGTTTTTCAAATAATTTGACTTGCAGTGGATAGCTATATAATCTAAATGAAACTTATTTTGTGAAACAACATGACACGAGGAGCTCCCTGACTTGTTCTGAGTCACTGTCTCATTCCAAATACTCCAGTTAGGGACTGAGTCTCCCATATTCATCTGCTTATCTCCCTCCTTTATTACCTGTGAATGGTTATATGGCAGTGATCTCTTTTCACCTTTATATTTCCTTTCTGTTCTTTTCTTGTATCTATACAACTCATTTAAAAAATCATGAAGACAAATTATAAAACAGGAAACCAACCAACAAAAATGGCCAATAATCCCTTTATCTAATTTATTCACTTTGACACATTTTCAAAGTAGGTAATATGTATCCACAGTAAGAAAATTTACATAGTACAGATAGGTTCTCAGTGAGTAGTGAAAACTCCCACACTCCAGCCTCTGGCTTTTTTATTTCAGTTAAAATTTCTTGTGATTCTTTTGCAATATCTTTATATATATATGCCTTGTGTGTATGTGTGTGTGTGAGAGTGTGTGTGTGTGTGTGTGTGTGTTTCTACATATGTATACCAGCATATTTTATTTATACAAAAGGGATTCTATTATTTACAATACTCTGCCATGAAACTTTCTAATGTGTTTTACTATCTGATAGAGAAAACTTCACATCCCTGTTTTCAAAATTTATTATTTTTACCCAAATGAAATTTAGAATTATACATCAGCTTTCCTCTTATCCAAAATTTCATTGATATAATTTAATGCTACCTTAAATTTATAAATTAATCTACTAAGAATCTCTTTAATATTCTATATTTTTCTTATGAAGGGAGATAACCTTTCAATTCCAGTGTTTTGTAATACCTCAACTAGGAATGTTTTTTCCTCTAGAAAATTCCTCCTATTTCATGTCCAGGCTGTGTCTTTGTATTACCCGTGCTCTATAACCTTATGAGCTGGATAGTCTTGTGATTCTCTTTTCTCCTTTATTGTCTGCTGCCATTTTAACATTCAATCATACATATGTTCATATTTAAGTATTGTTGTTTAATCCTTAGAGTTTTATAAGAATACAATCATACATAAAATAATGACTATTTTCTCCGCTCCTGTCAAAGCTCCCACCTGGTGTTTTCGTTTTGCTTCTTGCTGTAAGCATCAGGATGTCTGGAACAATGTTCAGAGAGATGCTGACAGCAGTCAGGTGTTTTCGTGTTGATTGAACTTACTTGGGGAGGCCTCCATTCGCACTCCTGGAATGACACTGGCCCTTGTTTTATATGGAGATTTTCATCATTATGGATGCAGCCTTTATTTCTGAGGTGCTTTTTAAAACACAAAATTGGTGTTTAAATTTGTCAAATAGGTTATCAGTGTCCCTGGAGAATATATAAGGTTTTTGTTTCCCTTAGACTATTATTTTGGACCATTACAATACAAATACGTATCCATGACTCACCTTCTATTTCTCTGGGCCAGTAGTGTGCAGTGCATGCCACACACGTCTCATTTAATCCCCAGTGAGATAAGTGGGGTTTGCCCCATTTTAAAAAGCTTAAATTTTTGCTCAGCGTCTGTCCCCATCCAGCCCTGCCACAGTTTGGTGGGTGAGGCTGAACTGGCTGTGAAGCTAGAGATCTGGACACCTCCAGGCCCTTGCTCTGTGCACAGGTACAGGTGTGGAGCCCGGGAACCTGACTCTCAGGATAAACTCAGGTTCCTTCCTCTGAGGGCCGGTTGTACCACAGTCTGTCCCAGCCTCTGTCTCCTACCACACACTACTCGCTCTCGCTCTCTGTCTCTCTCTCTCCATGACATCCGTCTCCCCTCCAAGGTGGACTATCAGCCTTCCATTAGGGCGGGATTCTCTGTTAACCTTGACTCCCCGCAATCCCATAGGTGCAGGTGAGACCCAAGCAAGGGTGGCCTCATGCTCTGTTGACTGGAAGCTGGTAAGGGGTGCAGAACCGCAGAGCACCAGCAGGGGGCGCTCTGGTCTAGGCCTGATTGAGGATCCTGTGCTCTTCTGAAGGATCTCCCAACTCACCTGACTCTCTCTGTGGCTTTCCCCCACCTAGGCCTGAAGCTGTTCTTTGATTACTTCACAAGCATCGTGATTTTCAATTCCTGGAGCGTGCTCAAGAGGCTAATGGCCTCAATGACAATTATCTGTGTGGCCAGAGCTCAGGTCTCAAACCCCAGGGAAGCCTTGTATGAAATGCTAGTGACCTGGCTCAACAACAAGGGGCGGGCTGCCTCAGTCAACACCTTCCTGGATGCCTTGGAAACACTGAGGGAGAGACATACAAAGGAGTTGATTCAGGACCACCTGGTGGGCTCTGGGAAGTATGTCTACAAAGAAGATGGGGCAGGCTCTGCTCTGTCCTGAGTGAAAAGAATCTCTTTAGGAAACCAGAGCATTCTTAGTTTCCTTTTCTCCTGGAAGAAGAAGTATGATTGGACACCAGCCTGGAAGACTCAGCCAGTACTTGAAGAAACTACCATCCAAAAGCGTATATAACTCTTGCAATGTTCTAGACTTTTCCAGTGCACTTAAAGTAATTTCTATTCATAAAAATGTGTATTGTTATAAACAAACTCTGGAAATGTGTATAAGATTCTATGAGGAGTAGAGTTATAAGTTCATATGTGTACTGAGAGTTGTTTTAGGATGTCATTCATTTTAGTTCATGTACCTTTTCATCTAATAGACTTGCACTTTTTACTTGTATTTATTATATTGTCAGACCCATCCATGTTGGTAGCTGTTCATTTACTAATGTCTAACTTTGTGATATAAATCATTCTATTTTTATATTTTTGTGTTTATCTGAGCATAGAAACCTTATGGAAATGTATTTATTTTTTTACTTGGATTAGTATGGTGGAAATATGCAAAAATATAAAAGTAGAGGAAAGGAGGCAAAAGCCCTACCTCTGGGTAGGCACTGGTGAGCCACAATTGTCCCTCATAGGTAGTTGGAGCTTGTCCAGGATTAGATGACTGGCAAATTCCACAGGGACCATTCTTTTCTACTTGATACTTTTATAGGTGCATGAATATTTATAATATTTAGAGACAAAAGTTTACAAGTGACCAGAGAAATGATATCCACGTGCAGCTCAGTGTCTGTGTGTCCCTGAATTGGAAAATTGTGCGTGAGCCTCTTTCTCATCTACGGATGTGGGTGGGAGATGGGTCAGATCTAAGGTGCCAAATTCACTGTATGTCATGTGCCATTCAGGTCATGTTCATGAACCTTCAGCCCCATCTGGGCTCAGGAGAGAGGACAGAGATCTGCTCCCACTGTCTGCCCTGGTCTCAAGGAGGAAGAGTGGATGGTGCTCCTGATTTGTGTTAAATGTTCACTAACTCAGCACTGGATGGACCCTCTTTCTTCTGGTGCTTTGTGAATCTGAGCCTCAGAACTGCCTTTTTGGGTCCGGATTGGCTCTTTAAGGATGTAAGCTCCTGCCTTCTGCATAAACAACTCAGCACATCATGCCAATTCTTAAATACTGTGAGTGATAGGCCTAGCATGACTGAGACCTTACTGTTTGTCCTGGTAACATTTTGTCTAATTTTTTTAAATCCTCAGTAACTGTCTCAGCCCTTCTTTCCCAAAACTCTTCTCCATAGTATTCCAGTCTCATCAGCATAATTTTATGGAGGAAGCAAGTCTCAGGGCTTTTGGTCTTTTCCATCTCAAGACTTTGTGTGTTGTCTTGTTCCAGGCGTGGTGTGACTGGGCCAAAACTGGAATTGCCTAAACATTTAGGCATGTTCAGGGTATGGTGTCCATGGAGTCTTTAGGAAGAGGTGACTCTGTGACCTTGGTACTTACATTCCTGTTTCCTTCTGATGTCACACCCTGGCCTGTCCCTTTTCTGAAGACACAGGTATCTCCTGCTTTTGCTGTTCCTTCTGTACAAGATGCTCTGCCCTTGTACATTCAGATGAAGGTGTGAATGTCAGGTTTAGCTCAGTTGTCCCTTTCTCAGAGAACTTGAGTGTCCCTCTAAAGCAGCAGTTCTCAACCTGTGGGTCGCGACCCCTTTGGGGGTAGAACAACCTTTTTACAGGGGTCGCCTAAGACCATTGGAAAACAAAAAGATACTTACATTACGATGCATAACAGTAGCAAAATTACAGTTATAGAGTAGCAACGAAAATAATTTTGTGGTTGGAGGTCACCACAACATGAGGAACTGTATTAAGGGGTCGTGGCATTAGGAAGGTTGAGAACCGCTGCTCTAAAGTATTATCCTTATCAGTGTTTGTCATCTTTATTCATTTGCTTACATGTCTATTGTGTGTCTTCCACCAGAGAGAAGTTTCATGAGCCCATGAAATTGTCTTGTTTATAGCTTTATATCCAGTGCAAATATGATATTTTTGAAATTTTGTCGAATGGTTGAATATCCCTTCATGCTTCTCTCTAGTGCAAGGGCCCACTTTTGAAGAGTTTGTTGGAAATATCAACAATATAAGGAAGGGTGTTATGTATAAAACGCTCATGTACTTCTGGATTCATGACCAAATTAAATATGGAGCCTTATATAAAAAGAAGTGTGGACTTTTTCCCCCTCCCCATCTTCCCCTTGTCCTCTGAGTGAAATGAAGACTACAAGCCTGTATCTTGCTGTGGGGCTCACTCCTTTCTTTCCCCCTTGATGCCTTCAGGCTTGACCTGCATGGGTGGGTTTCCAGCTCTGGATTCCCAAGCGCAGCAGGTTCATGGGGAACTGGAATTTCAGCCCCTCTTCCCTGACTCTACTTCCCCCAGGGAGAGGGACCCCAGCCCTGACTGGCTCTTCCACAGCCTCCATAGCTGGTGTCTAGGTGGCACCTGGGCCTGCTGGGCTCCTGCGTGGTGCAGACCAGCTCTGACAGAGCTGTTCAGAAGAGGCCGTGGGTCCCTGAGGGTTGAGCTGGCCCTGGTTACTGAGGTTGATCTGTGACCCCTGTCCTGTGGGCTTCCTGCACCTCCAGGCCACCTTCACTTTCTCTCCCCACAGGCCTTTGTGCATGCTCGTCAGTGGGCCAGATGGCTCAGCCCTGCAAGCTCATGGACACCCATTTCCCCTCCCTTGGACTTTAGGCTCCTGTTCTCCCTCTCAGCTAGAGTTCCTGAGAGGCCCTGAGGCCTGTTCCCCTATTGCATCCTTCCCCAGAGCAAAGGTGCTGGGTGCACAGCTGCTCCCCATGGTTGCGCTCCTCCTGCCCTGCCCGTTGCTCCTCAGACTCACCCTGGAGCAATGGGGTCTTCAAGCTGCCGTCTCAATCCTCCACAACCCTATTTGCCATCCTTCCTCCCTCAGGCCCACCTTTCTTTGTTCCTGCTCACTGGTTACCTTTCTCCTCCCTTTTCCCCAAACCAGCAACAGGTGGGGCTCTTTGCAGAGGACTCCTGTTCTCCAGCCCCATGGCCTTTGTCTTGACCTTTGATCCCTACCCTATGCCTCCAACACACACATGAACCTTCTGCAGGGTCTCCTTATGAAGATGAGAAGGGTAATCTGCATTTTCAACATGTGCAAAAGCAATGGCCCAATGCCATGTTGGAGCCCTGAGACCACCCTCCCGAGACGCCTTGATACCAGTAGACTGATAACTATATAATCAAAATGGAATTTATTTTGTGACATGATATGACATGGGGAGTGTCTGAATTGTTCTAAGTCACTGTCCCATTCGTCCAACTCCACTTAGCAACACATCCTCCCATTTTCCTCTACCCTTGGTCCCTCCTTTATCACGAGGATAATGTTGTGGGATAGGAAGGAACTTTCCTCTACCCCCAAGGTTCTTTTGCATCATCTAATATTCAAACCAACATCAGATAGATTAACAAGAGAAAATAACCAAATTTAATTACATAAATAAATATATATATATACATATATATATATACATATATATAGATAGATACATATATATCCCGCATACATGGACGAGACAGAGAGACACCCCTTATACATGAGAGGTTCAGGAACAGAAAGTTAAAATGAGGTATATATGGCATTCTGAGCTAAGGGTCACCTTGGGGCTTCAAAGGGGAGGAAGGTCATTGAAGGAGAATAAGAATAGCAGATGTTTAGTAATTAGTGGTTTGCCCTGCTCTATATATAGGTGAAAAATGTTATCTCTGGGGCCAGCCGAGTGGCACGATGGTTAAGAACTGGCTTGGGATGCCAGAGGGTCCCGGTTCGGATCCCACATATGAGGGCCAGTGACACTGCCCT